CCCTTCCCTTAGAATTTAATATTGCAAGAATTTAATATTGCGATCTTATTCATCTTGTTCCGTTGCTCTTGTTCTTGTTCTCATGTGAATGTAAATGTACCAAATAAAAAATCTTAACATTTTCACTTGGGCTCGCATGACTCGCATGACTCGCATGACTCGCATGGCTCGCATGGCTCGCATGGCTCGCATGGCTCGCATGGCTCGCATGGCTCGCATGGCTCGCCCTTTGGCTCGCATGGCTCGCTGGCTCGCAGGTTTATAAAACCCTATGAAACCATGAAACTTATGAAACCTAGAAACCTAAGAAACCTTTGAAACCATGAAACCTTTGAAACCACGAAACCTATGAAACCATGAGACTTATGAAACCTCGAAACCTATAAAACCTTTGAAACCATGAAACCTGTGAAACCATGAAACTTATGAAACCACGAAACCTGTGAAACTACGAAACCTATGAAACCACGAAACTTATGAAACCACGAAACCTGTGAAACCACGAAACCTGTGAAACCATGAAACCTATGAAACCATGAAACTTATGAAACCTAGAAACCTAAGAAACCTTTGAAACCATGAAACTTATGAAACCTAGAAACCTAAGAAACCTGTGAAACCACGAAACCTATGAAACCATGAAACTTATGAAACCTCGAAACCTATAAAACCTTTGAAACCATGAAACCTGTGAAACCACGAAACCTATGAAACTGTGAAACTTATGAAACCACGAAACCTGTGAAACCATGAAACTTATGAAACCACGAAACCCGTGAAACCACGAAACCATGAAACCTATGAACCCTATGAAACCTATGAAAACCTATGAAACCTATGAAACCTATGAAACCTATGAAACCTATGAAACCATGAAATCTGTGAAACCACGAAACCTATGACACCGCGAAACTTCTGAAACCTCGAAACCTATGAAAACATGAAACCTATGAAACCACGAAACCTATGAAACCTATGAATCAATGAAACCACCTATGAAACCATGAAACCGGGAAACCTATGAAACAATGTAACCATAAAACCTATGAAACCTTGAACCTATGAAACCATGAAACCATGAAACTTTCTTTAATACATATATGTCGCAATTAGCTTTTTAATTTGCATATATTCGTGATCCGTAACACTAAGCTGTAACCCGCCTAGCTAAGCTTCTGAAATGTGCACCAGGCTCTCTCCAGACCTCCCAGATTGAACGAGAAAATGGCGGATAAAATGGCGGATAATATGGCGGATACGAAGCCTCTTGACTGTAAGATTATCATCAAAAATCCCGTGCTGCTGAAGATCGGAGACGGGCGGAACGATTTTAGATCTGGTGTATCCGTGATTGACATTATATTTCCGGGAAACAACAATGTAGAGGTTAGACTAGTTTAGACGGGATATTTAATTGGACCATTAACTGGTTATACTAATTTGTATTCGTTCTGGAGATCAACAGGCATTTTGAAATTTTGTACAAATAGTCAGTAGTAAGCTTACATTAACAAGCATGTAAGCTTAAATCAAACGCTATTGTTTTCATCGCGTAGTTGTTTAGTACATAAACTTATACTCAGGACGTAACACATCGATAATTCCGATACTCGATCAAAATCGATCAAAATCGATAAACATCGATAATAATTAGTCGATTAATATCGGAAATCGATCAAAATCGATGGCCGGGTTCTTTGAGATTATCGATTTTGATCGATTTCGTTAATTAAGGCTCGATTAGTATCAATTTTGATTGATTATATCAGGGACTAAGGAAAAGCAACTTTCAAAATCAATCCTGAGGTGTGCCGCTGAAAGAATTGCAGTCGCTTCGCCTCCCAGTTGTTTCTCTAACGGCCAGTCAGATCAGTTCGCTAACATTGATTTTAGAACAAAGAATATAACACCATCACTCCACGAAGAATATACATTTGCGAACTAACCTAAGACGTTCAGTAGCACAGTGGTTAGCAACACATTCACGCCTGCAGCATAATCTGCATAATGCATCTGAGCCTCTGCAACAAAGCAGACAAAACACAAGCATTAAAAGAATAATAAAAAGTTTTGAAGCAGCCCAATAGAATCAAGGTATTTGTATGAAGAAAAAAAAATGAAATTTAAATGACGTGGATAGACCCACCCAGTATCCTCTCCTTTTCATGTGGCACCTCGCTCGTGCCCGATATGTACAGTATTTTTCATTCGCATGCAAACTGTTTTGGCTGCTCCACGCCATAGTATAGCAGTATAAGTAACCTCGGCTGTGAAACTGATAAAGGTGCACTAGCCCGGTGGACAAACGACCACATTTTCGTAACGTAATGAATGGATCCGTTTTTAATGAAAATTATATTTTTGCTGAGAATCATGGCTTACACCTGCTTACGAAATGTGTTTCCTAAGCTAGAGTAGACTTGCCACAAGTCGACCTCATGAATTTCAGGGTAGAATATGTTAGGCCGCAAAGCGGGGTAGAAGATGTTAGGTCACGAAGCGGCAGCTTTTAAGGTTGCGAAGAAGCTGAGCAAGTGACGAAGTAGCGAGAGGTTGACTTGTCTCGCTTGAAGGGTTTTCACTAGCATTTCGTGCCAAAAATGAGGAGTGGTGTGACTTGCAACTGGTGTCTCAGATTACATTTGGATTGAATTGAATGGTGGAAAGTATCGGTTCCACTCCGACAAGACAAGTGAACGTGTGTGTGTTTCTCCTGCATCGAAAGAGCAAATTTGTTTACTCTATACTAAAGTGATTACGAACAAAGATTTTAAACGAAAATTGATTATATCGGGTGGCCAAAAACAGACCAAATCTTGTTTGAATCTTGAATTGATCGCCAGAAAGGAGAGATCCAGTGGCGAAGGTTCACCGGAGATATCCAGTGGCGAAGGTTCACTTTGACAAACATTTTGTGCCAAAATTGTGCAGACAAAAATGAAACCATAGTTCGGAAGACTCTTGAAGTAAGAGAAAGCTTCGAATCATCAAGGAAGTCTATTGAAACCAAGAAAGACGGAACAACGTGGCGATAGTTGTTGAGAATCGCCTCCGGACTTCCAAATACCAATTTAACTTTAAGATCTAAAATGTCCTGTAACTGTTGTTCAGAACAGTCGTCTCTTACATAGGAAGCTGGAATTCCACGGGAATTTAGGTTAGAGCACGATGGAGTTGCTATTCGATGGAGTTGCTATTCGCTTGATCTCCATGTAAACAGTCAAATGCATACGGAGCTAGCTCAAAAGTTAAACTTTTCCCAGCTCCGGTTGGCGCAGAAACAAACACATCTCTTCCAGACAGATATGCTTCCACTGTTTTCTTCTGGTAGTCACGCAATACATGATATCCCGTGGCCTTTGAAGCTTCTTTAATGGCTTTTGCAATTGACCCAATATTGAATTTAACCACAAGTCACATTTCGTTGTGCATAGTTTGACAATTCGGTCCCCAAGGGATATCCAGGGGACCTCTGATTGGTTGAAGCGTAGCGACCCGTTTTTGGGTTGCTAAAATTGGTGGCAATTGAGCAGGAAAAGTCCTTTGTCCGGTGGGTACTGAATTAACAAGACGAAGAACTTTTCAGAAAGTTTAAAGATAGAGTTTTAAGCTTGAGGTCACCAATGTAAGGTAAGAAGTGACAGTTAACAAGCTAAGCCTGTAATAAGTCAGTGTCCCCTATTCGTGACTGGTATACAGTATTCCTAATGTCTTGATGTCACTGACACCCTCTACGCTATTGTTTTGATCAAATTGGCTTCCGAAGTATATATCATTAGCGGGTGTTTTGTCGTGGTATCCCGACAGTTTCTCAAAATCAATAGAAACCTATGCCCGATGCTTAAACTACTGTGATTATCGATTTTCATCAATTAATTTGCTTAATCGATTGATTATTATCAATTAAAATCGCGTAATATCGATTTATCGATTAGGTTTCCGATGATCAATTTCGATCAATGCATTACATTCCGTTACACTAGTTGTGCCTATCGGTAAGTGCCAACGAGTGAATTGAGTTAGTAAACAAGAGCCGATTGAATTTTGTAATATTTATTTGGGATACTTCTGGTATAACAGGTGTTAAAATCAATTTATTTTAGTTAATCTTTCAAATTATTGCTGTAATTGAACACAACATTGTTTAGTTTTCAACTCAGTGGGTGAACAAAATGCTACACACTTTTTTGTATTTTTAAAAATCATACTTGTTATACTTCCAGTATAACAGTTGTTAAAATCAATTTCTTTTCCCTCGTTTGGCGATTATTTTGGTAAGTACTTAAGTAATTTGTCTACCAGTCTGGTTTTTGGATTTGTTGTGATTGAATAGTACAATTGCTAAAGCTAAACAAGACCCGAGCTGTTTTCTGGAATGAATTCAATTATTGTTTATTTGATTGTGGGTAACGCTCAGGATTTGTTCGAAATCAGTTCGACGAATTATTTCGGTTAGTAGTTTGTCTGACATTTTGCTTTTTGAAGGTGAATGTAACTTGGATTTGTTGCGATTGAATCGCATAATTGGAAAACCTCATTTAGGTGTTTATTTGAGCAAAAACACTCTTTGAGAGTAAATTTCAACCAACATGTTGACAGAGCCAAAGAAGCTCAAATTGAACCAACGAGTTCACTTCTGACAACCTCTGCGCAAAGTTCTTGAAATTAAAAGAAACTTCAAACCAAACAAATACCATTAATCATGTAAAAACTTAATGTGAATCACCAAATTGATTGCAAATAATCCTTTAAAAACACGTTCAAATTAAGAAAACAACATTGATAATCTCCGTCATCTTACATGTAAGCTTGTTTTTTACACTGTTCTCTGCTCAACACTTTTGTCTCTGTGAAAATGCGTTAAATCAAAGTTACATGCACCTCATTGATCCTTTACTAACTTATTTTACATTCACCTTCAAAAACCAGAATGTCAGACAAACTACTTACCAAAATAATTTGTTGAACAGATGGCGAACAAATCCTGAGTGTTGCCTTGAATCAAATAAACAACACTCAAATTCATTCCAGAAAACAACTTGGGTCTTGTTCAGCTTTAACAATTGTTCGATTCAATCACAACAAATCCAAGATGTATACACCTCAAAAAGCAGAGTGGTAGGCAAATTACTTGAGTACTTACCAAAATAATCGCCGAACAAAGTTCTGCCACCAGGAGAGCTGAACAAATATCGTCGGAATCCATCTTCGAAGCCTCGTGACGTCACAAGGAAAACTAGTGTTCTGATTGGTTCGTGCAATATATCGACAACATCCGGTTACATCCTACTATGGCCAAAAAAATATCACTGATGGAACCGATTACGCGAAAATCGAGCTGAAAGATCTGAGATTTTTTCTGCATAGTCATCAACCTACACACGGCTCTATATCCTGCCACCTCGACAGGCTCGCGTTTTCACTCGCCTGTCTTGTTGGCAATTAAATTTGCAAAATCTGCTATTCTTTTCTCACTTTAATTTCAATGTTCCCGACATAGCAGTCAATCAAACCCAATCGAACTGTATTTCAATTGAACTAAATTGAACTCAATCCATGGATTGAGTTTGAATGAGTTCGGCAATCAAACCAAATCAAACTCACATAAAAATATTTGGACAATCGAACTAAATCGCACTTTTTAATTTCTGAAGTCTTGATTTTTTGTAAAACTGGTGGTGAAAATCAAGTTTTTTGAGGCTCGAGTTACTTCAGTATAACTTGTGTTTTTCATGTTTTTGAGACCACATAACATAATCTTTGTTCAAGCAAATTTACTCACTGAACGCAATCCATTGGATTGCGTTCGATTGAGTTTGGCTGCCGAACCCAATCGAACATAATCAAACACAATCGAATGGAGTGAGTTCTGTTCAGTTCAATTTGTTTGACTGAGTTTGATTGGTTTGGAAATCGAACTCACACAAAGTTGGGTGTTTGATTTGGTTCGATTGCTGAACTCAGTCCATGTTGGTCCAACATACACTAGCTAAACCAATATCTTACAAAGTCACTTCTGAGTTTCAGTTTCTATTATAGAACCCTGGATAAAGAACCCTGTTCCAGACTGGATTATTTATACACTGTCCACATTCCTGGTACATTATACCCTCTTCTAAACAAAAACTGTTTGATTTATTTACTCTATCCCAGACTAAACTGCCTGAAAAACATACCCTTCACAGCAGCACATACCCATATAGCTTATATATTGGAGTAATGCCCCCCCCTTTCCCGGGCTGTAACGCCATGTTTTTTGCTCCGCAAATTATTGGGTAGACCATAGAGTAGGCTTAATAGTCCATAGTGCCAAGTAAGATTTGGGGCTTCACACTGCTACATTCCACAACCTGCACAATTCTTCAGAACATCTTCAGAAATCTTCAGCAATGTTTGAAAGTCATCTGAATGTCTTTGTTGTCTGTTTTTGTGTGTGTGTGTGTTTTTTTTTTTGGAAAGTAAGGTATTATGGATACGAAGATGTCTGATGTGGTTAATGTTGATTCATACTCAGTGATTTCTAGTGGTAGTAAATTGTGTTGATACCATGTTTTAATTTACACCATGGCTATTTAAATCTTGATATTCAGGTGGGGAAGCTGTCATTTAAGAACTCTTATACAGCATCCATTACAGTTAAACTGAAAATCCTTGGTAAGAATTGTTATACCAATGATATGGAGTAAGTACCAGTGTTTACATACTTAGACAAATCTAGTTAGAATGAATGGTAAACCTTGCAATTATAATGATCCTTATAACTACTAGATACTTCTCTTAGCTCCCCCACTTTCATTATATTGGAAATAGCAAAATGTACAACATTGTACAGGGGAAGAAGGAGAGGGCAGAATGTGTAGAAATTGTGATATCATGTTTCAACGGAACAGTTATGAACTGGAGACTTATCTGATTTTACTTTTGATTTCAAATTGATTGTCATGTACCTGCTCTATTTATACCATAATTAACTGTCATATGTATATGTATTAAACTATCAGACATTTTTGGAAATTTCAACTGAACTTAACTAACTTGGGTAAACTGACATCTGATACAAGATTAAGTTAACCAAGTTAACCAATCAGATCATTAATTGAGAACAGAAGATGACATTTTTTTTTCATGAACAAACTAATGACATTGAAAAATACAAACAATCGTTCTATACTGCAATCAACTATAGACTCGTCCTAGTGTGGTGTCTGCAGCTGTGCATTGTGAATGTTGACAACCGTTTTCAGATATCTCCCTTTTTGCTCAGTCTGTGCAGATTACTTTCAAAATGTTTTAGACTAAAGCCCTTGAGGAAACACTTCACAATAAAAAATGATTTTGAATTGAGAAGTCTGAAAATGTTTTGATCGAAACTACAGTACCAGTATTATTAACAAGTTAACTTACAGAATGATGGGTTCTTCAAGCGATATTGTTGTGTTTCAACTTTTGTTGCAGAAATGTTGTTTGTATTCCCCAATGTGCATGCTTGATATACTGTACCTGTCTCTTATAATATGTCATATTGCTTTCACAGCTATGGTGTACATGTCCATCTGCTCAGCACATAGAGCTATATATTAATCAAGACAAATGTTTTGTTTCACTAAACGTTTTAAATCACATTTTTTAAACTTAATGTCGTGCAGCTTATGTAGAATCCCCAAAGTAGATACAACTCAATGAACGTAGATTAACCGCAATTTAACATGTTTTAATAATCCAACATGCCTAACCCACTTTTATGTTCCCCTTACATTTTGTCAGACATTTTGAATTAGATATCTGTTCTGCATCATGCACACATAGAGCTACATGAAACATCCTACATCCCTTTCCTTCATTACAGAAAAGGGATATTAATAATTTATTATAACATTGTGAAATGATACATAATACGTCTCAAAGTCATCCTGACATCAGGTTATCTCACGTAATGAGGTAATGTTCAATAATACATGTAAATGTTCATTCTAGAACAATGTCCTCAAATCTCATTGTTCATGTCTGATGTCTGCACTAGCCACGGGGTCTTTGATGTGATCAGTTCCTCTGCTTGGTTTCATCCTGATTCTGTTGCATTTCTCACAGATCACTTGCAACATCCCCAACCTTCTATACTTGGTTCCATCCCCTCAGGACTTGATCACCACACCATTACCACTCTTGTCAGTTAGCTCATATGGCTGGCTCTCAAACTGGGTGGTTGACTTGTTTGCTTGTGGTTACTTTAACAGAAGTTCAATATTTCCTACCATCAGATTGCTTTCTTCAGCTTTACACATTCTGTCATAGTATTTTTTCATCTTGATGTTTTTTGTCAGTCTCAATCCCTTACCTCTTCATCTAGTTTGGCAGCCTCCCTCAGACCTGGGAGTTTTGTGCATGCATGTGGCTTATGGCACTGCAGTGTTCACTACAAATCTGATGTACTTTTCAGCAACGTTCCTTGTGTTTGCTTTTTCAATTGTCAGGGGTGACGATGCATCTGCGATGTTTAGTTGCCCAGGCAAATTTTTCACTGAAAATACATAAGGCTGCAACTGAGAACCCAGCTCTTATTTCTTGCTGAAGCCCTTGAATGTGTGGAATAGTTTGTAATCAGTCATAGTTCAAATTCTATTCCAAAGAGATGAACAGGAAATTTCTCACAGGCCTGTACAATTTCCAGTTTGAGTTTGCAACTACTGGCATTCCACATCAGAAAGTCCCATACTGGCATAACAGTTAAATGACATGATTCTTTTCATTGTGCTCTTGTACCAGGACTGCCCCCAAACCCACTGGACTTTCATTGGCAATAATCTTTGTCTTTGCATTGCAGTCAAAGTAGTCAAGAGTCTCTGCCTGAGTTAATCTCTCTTTCAGTTCTGTAAAGGCTGCCTGTTGCTCTGGACCAAGTGAAAGATAAATGACTCTCCTTTCAGGAGGTCTACCACAGTATCAAGGCTGAGGATGAATCTGGCATTGAAATTAACTAGCTGAGGCCAAGGAAATTTTTTCCTGACATACGCTGCAGTTCAAAAGCCCCATTAACTGCTTTGACTTTCTCTTTGGTTTGACCAAAGCCTTGATGTGATAGTTATTAGTACTACCCCAAAAAAGGGGAGATCTGGCATATGAAATACACATTTCACCTTAATAAGGGTAAGACCCCCATCTTTCAACCTGGCCAACACTTTCTCCAGTTGCTTGTTAGTGTTAGCTGTGTTAGTGCCAGAGATGATGAGATCATCTGAAATTTTTGCCACTCCAGTGCAATCCTGCATGACTTGTAAATTGACTTGTTGAGATTTCTCTGGTATAGACGCATAGACTCTTTGTGTTACAAAGGTTGTTATGCCACAGGACTCTCTCCTAGCTTAATTTGATGGTAGACTCACTTCAGAACCAATTTTGCTTATCCTCAAAAAACGTTCTCAATTGTGGTAATTGGAGGCCTCTCACAAATAATGGGCACACTGGGTACATGTCTATGTATACATGTAATGTCAGTCACCATCAGGCTTGAGAACCACTACGGCAGGATTAACCCATGACATCAGATGCTATACTTTCTCTGTCAATAACATCTTGTGTTCTTTATGTAGTTCCTCACAATCCTTCTCAGTCATCTCTCTCAAGCTGAACGCAGGCTGTTGTAAGGGTTGTGCTACCAGCTGGGCTTGCTTTTCAATGAGTTGAAAGTCTTTCAATTTGCCAATTCCTTTAAATGCATGCTTACAAGTATATTCAGTTGTCATTAAGTCACTACTATCAGCCACTTGGTTCAATGGACCTTGCAACTTCAGGTCTCCTTAAATATAATGCAGGTGCTCTTCTCTTTCTAAAAGTGGTTCCCCTTGACCCTTGACAACTTTGACTTCAGCTGGCATACACTTGTTTCCTAAAGTAATATCCGCAGTACATGTTTATGTACTGATAACTTAAGTGGGGTAAAGTGCTCTATGGGTGTACAGCGTCTTTGTGTTAAAAGATGGGCTCTTAAACTCCATCAAGACTGTAGTAAGCCACCTTAATGAATACAAACTGATCTGGTTGGTTGGTAGACTATATTTATTTTAATATTTTTTTCATGCAGTCGAACCTCCAGTAAGCAACCACCCAAAATTTCAAGCCTAAGAGATCACTTATGGGAGGTGTTCACCTACAGTGTATGAGAGCTTAGACCATATAATTTGGGTCAAAACTTTTCACCCCATTAGCATATGGTAATTATAAGACATTTAAGGCCATCTCTTTAAAGACTGATAGGGAACAGAGTGTATGTGCATTTTTTGATTTTAAATGTTTTACTCATGTGAAAAGTCAATTTCAAGAAAAATTCCAACTCTTCCCATTGAGAAATTTAATCTCTTGTACTACTCATGAATGCAATAATGTTACAACATCTTATTATCCAATTTGTGCTCTACTGTCAAGTGGTCGCTTACGAGAGGTTACAAAATTTCAAACTTTTAGCTCTAAAATTGGTTGCGGTCGCTTACAAGTGGTCGTCACTTACAAGAGGTTCCAAATATAGTGATTTGACTTGGAAACTTTTGGTATTTGGAGAACTGGTCACTGAGGAAAGGTGGTATGGGGTCTATGACTCTTTCACAGACCATTCCTATGGCATTTCTGTTTTTGTTAATTTGTTGTCATTAAATTGTAATAAATTAATATGTCTTTGTGCTCTAGTTGCTATCTACCAAATTTTTGCATGAAGGTTGCTTGCAAACAATAGTATTTGCTACTCATGCTTCATTCACTAATCACAGCAAGGTTGCATTGACTGTTGCATATAACATCAATGCCATGGTACAGCTGAAAGGTAGTCTGCATATGGGCCAAGTGGCCTGTCAGGCCAGAGCTTTTCCCAGTTTCTGTAGCATGAAGCAACTAGGAATATTTCTACTCCCCTCTGTATGGAATGCTACTCCATTGCAGGGTTATCTGCAGCGTTAAGTTTGCGGGTAACCATTTACACACCTGGTTGGAGAGAAGGACTGTGGGAGTAAAGTGTCTTGCCCAAGAACACAATGCAGTGTCCCCGGCCAGGGCTTGAACCTGGACTGCTCGATCTGGAGACGAGCGCACTAACCATGAGGCCACTGCACCTCCCATAGTACTGAAAGGCTGCATTCTTTACCTAATAGGAATGCTTGTTAACTTGTAGCTCTTTTAATGTTCAATGCAGATCTTTTGGGCTCGGAGAGATGGAAAACTGCCATAAAGAATTACACTCTTATGCCACATCCCCATTTTGAGACAGGAAGCCAAGATTGTTTTATGTTATTTACATGTGCTAATCAGGTAAGTACCCTCTACAATATAAGACTACCGGTACTTGAATAATGTGGTGGTTCGTGATATGGCTGTTTTAATCAAATTTTAAAATGGACCCTAAAATATTAGAGAATAGAGTTTTATTTTTAGACTCCTGCATGCATGTTGGTCTCAGCCAAGGTCAGGTTTATCTGTCAGACCATTAGCATGGTGGAAGTTTTTTAAAAAGCTAGACCACCAAGTCAATAAAACAGAACAATAAAACAGAAAAGGTAATAGAAAAAGAAAAAAAAAACAGAAAAAAAAAAAACTGAAAAGGTAATAAAAGCCTTTTACTTTAATTGGTGTCAGTAAGTATAAATTGTACATTATTCAATCCCTTGTTCAGTTCATCCAAAATGAGATTTAATTTATGATTTAGAGTAAAGCAAACAGACATTTTGAGCTTAAATGATGATTATGTTTAAATCTTTGGAACAAGAGGTACATTTACAAGCATTCACAAACTTTCTTAACATGTAAAGTTCCACTGCCTTGAGAAAAACTTTAATTGAGTGTCTTCCTGTGTACCTGCTATTTAGGTATTGTATTTTTACCAGTCTTTTGTTCCCATTTAGTGATATGTGTATTGTCGTTCGAAGGTGCACACAATTATTTGTTAATTCTGAAAACTGTCCAAATTAATTCTTATGCCCTTACAAGTAATTTGGACAGTTCCATATTAAGCAGTATAATTGACCAGTAACACAACTACATCCTAATCAAATTAAATTACTGTGAAAGTCCATGTATAAGCTGCACCCATGGGTAAGCTGTGCCCCCAATTTGGAAGCTCAAATTTGGAAAAAAATAAAGACAACAAAATTTGAAGTTCCAATGAAGTTCAATTTTTGACTTGAATTTTGAGAAGAAAAGGTGCTGCTTTTACATGGACTTATATGGTTCTGCAGCCATAATGTCAGTAATTTAATATTGTCAGTCCTCCAAATTTTTTTCATCCAATTATTTTCATTTGAATTGGACAGTATGTAGTCCCATTACATATAACATTTAATTAACTATTAATTCCTGTTTGCCCCCACCTCCAACAGCATGTCTGTGCTAATTAGTTAAGCTTCCAGGAGGAAGCAGTGTTCACACTAGGTTTTGCAAACAATGCATTCTGGACCCCTCAGCTCAATTTTTAAGCATCCTCATGAATTGAATTGTAACGTCTGAGAAAATAAGTTGCTGCCGCTGAATGTTTCCTGTTTACACCCGAAAAACACTTGAAACATGTGTTATACTGCCCCGAACTCACCGTGTTTATACTAGCAATGAGCACTTAAGTAAAAAAGGTACTAAAAAGGACGTGTTATGCCTGGGGGGTAGGGGGCTACTGTGCAATCTTTTATACAGGAAGGCTCTGCCCTGTGGTCCAAGCCTTTACCCATTTGTAAACCATTTTGACAGAAAAGGTACCCCTCTCACATAATGAATTTAGTGCTGAATAAATTTAATGATACAGCCACAAGGTGCATCTGTTTGATATATTTTAATTTAGTCCCTCTTACTAGTAAATACCTAAATGATCGATTTCCATACCCTTTCATGTACCTCAACTGTTAAATCCCTCCCCTATTAAACACCTGAAGTCTGAAAAACATACTCTTTTCAGGCTCAGAGCCTTTCCATATTAAGCCATTATAGGGAGTACCTCTCTGGGTCTTATGCATCTTTTTGGGCATCATTTTTCTTCTGATTGGTTCTTACATCATAACCCCTGAACAGAGGATTCATGCAATAGAGATAGCAGAAGTCTGGCAGTGATCTATACGAAAGCTGAGGAGGGACTTCTGAGTTCTGACCTCTGAGTTTCGACTTCCGACTTCCGACTTCCGACTTCCGACTTCCGACTTCCGACTTCCGACTTCCGACTTCTGAGTTCTGAGTTCTGACTTCCGACTTCCGACTTCCAAAATTTAAATGATTGATCTCTGACATGTGACTTATTTCCCTAGAAGTTGGGCCAGATTATAATATTTGTATAGTTATGTTTCGGTAAGTTGGTGTTAAGCTGCATTGTACTTACTTGTTATTTAAATCTAATTTCACTGAGAAACTAGGAACAGATGCTTTTGTTTTGCAAAACCATGTTGGCAACGTGACAGTATCGAGTCAAAGACATTGCCAAACAAAGATCGCAATGAACTGAAACTAACAAATTTTGTTGTGCCATTACATATAGACGCTTATACTTATGTTATTTACACAGTTTGGTTGCATGTAGCCTGCCAACCTTATTTTATGTATTAACGAGTGCAATCCTCAGTGTTTGGAATCGCTTTTCTCTGGTTATTTTGTGCCACTTTACTAGCCCTTCATACTGCGTTATTGAATATAACATTACTTTATCTTGTTGATTTTCTGAGAATTTCCTGCGTTCACTATAAACTCAGATGAAGAGACTTCAGTTCTAACTTTTTAACCTCCAGTAGGAACTAAAATTATCTTATGTTCTTTTTTTTCTTCATGAAGACATTAGTTGAGCCTGATTCCAAACAACTAGGGCAGTGTATTTTTCCTTGAATGTTTATTAGGAATGGATCATTATTTTTTAAGGGGGAGGGGGGCTGGGCAATTTCCAAAAAAAAAGTCCTGCACAGCAAAAACTGAAAAAAAAAAAAAATTTTTGCAAGGGGAGCTACAGGAAAAAAAATTTGGCAAGTGATTCTACTATCATTATTTTGATTTTCATATCGTAGAAAAAAAATCTTGCACAACCTATTGCCCACCAAAAAAATTATGCACGACCGTAATGTGAGAAAAACAAATTTCATGCCCCAGAAAATTCCCAACCCTTGCCCCCTCCCCCCCACTTAGAAGAAAATAAGGGTATAAGGGTCCATTGGCTTATGATGTAAATAATAACAACATATCTCGTTGTGCGACATGTTTCTCATTGTGTGGCATTGAAGAAGAATTGAATTTTGACCGACATGATTGCAAAGTAAAATTAACTTAGAGAATAGTCTCACTACGTGACTGAGCTCTTTAAAACATCAGAAATGTGAATTTTTAACTGCCTATTGCATGACATTACCCCAGACATAGTGTTTGGGGTGGAGAGTAACTCCCTTTTGAAAGAGACAGCTGGGATGCTCATCATTTCACTTAGGGGCACAAATTTCCGATATTTGGTGTCCACTTCAGCTGGAATTGTTTGGTTTAAGACAATAATTTGACCCCAAGTACAAACTAACTTAACACTAACTTGCCAAGACATAATAATACAAATATTGAAGTCCAGCCCGAAACCTGACGTCTGATTTGGCTAAGATTATAACACAAACAGCGGTGATAAACATTGTTATAAACATTATATTCAAACTCATTCTTAATCAAGCTACGATGTCTAAAAACAAGAGTTTATACGATTCTGATTTGATTAAGTTTGACTTGATTTCCAGGGAAATAATTTGCACATCGAAAATCGATACTTTAAATTTTGAAGTTCAAAGTCAGAAGTTGCAAGTCGCAAGTCAGAAGTCAGAACTCAGTAGTCGGAAGTTGGAACTCAGAAGTCAGAAGTCGGAAGTCAGAAGTCGGAAGTGTGAAGTCCCTCCTTGGCTTTTGTAGATCTAATTTGGCTGCCATGTCAAATCCTTTGCACATTTATTAACAAGTGTCTCTCCTCTATGTCCTATTAGTGGACTGGTGCAAGAGTCAATAATTTATTACAAGAGGGAGTTGTTATTTGTTCTTGAACGTATATATCCTAGTGGGAGCATCCATGTAAACTTTGTACTAATTATTAACCACGCGGCCATGGGCTGAGTGCGGTTCATGTTCTACCCGTGTTTTTTTTTTTTTTTTTTTTNACTCATGTGAAAAGTCAATTTCAAGAAAAATTCCAACTCTTCCCATTGAGAAATTTAATCTCTTGTACTACTCATGAATGCAATAATGTTACAACATCTTATTATCCAATTTGTGCTCTACTGTCAAGTGGTCGCTTACGAGAGGTTACAAAATTTCAAACTTTTAGCTCTAAAATTGGTTGCGGTCGCTTACAAGTGGTCGTCACTTACAAGAGGTTCCAAATATAGTGATTTGACTTGGAAACTTTTGGTATTTGGAGAACTGGTCACTGAGGAAAGGTGGTATGGGGTCTATGACTCTTTCACAGACCATTCCTATGGCATTTCTGTTTTTGTTAATTTGTTGTCATTAAATTGTAATAAATTAATATGTCTTTGTGCTCTAGTTGCTATCTACCAAATTTTTGCATGAAGGTTGCTTGCAAACAATAGTATTTGCTACTCATGCTTCATTCACTAATCACAGCAAGGTTGCATTGACTGTTGCATATAACATCAATGCCATGGTACAGCTGAAAGGTAGTCTGCATATGGGCCAAGTGGCCTGTCAGGCCAGAGCTTTTCCCAGTTTCTGTAGCATGAAGCAACTAGGAATATTTCTACTCCCCTCTGTATGGAATGCTACTCCATTGCAGGGTTATCTGCAGCGTTAAGTTTGCGGGTAACCATTTACACACCTGGTTGGAGAGAAGGACTGTGGGAGTAAAGTGTCTTGCCCAAGAACACAATGCAGTGTCCCCGGCCAGGGCTTGAACCTGGACTGCTCGATCTGGAGACGAGCGCACTAACCATGAGGCCACTGCACCTCCCATAGTACTGAAAGGCTGCATTCTTTACCTAATAGGAATGCTTGTTAACTTGTAGCTCTTTTAATGTTCAATGCAGATCTTTTGGGCTCGGAGAGATGGAAAACTGCCATAAAGAATTACACTCTTATGCCACATCCCCATTTTGAGACAGGAAGCCAAGATTGTTTTATGTTATTTACATGTGCTAATCAGGTAAGTACCCTCTACAATATAAGACTACCGGTACTTGAATAATGTGGTGGTTCGTGATATGGCTGTTTTAATCAAATTTTAAAATGGACCCTAAAATATTAGAGAATAGAGTTTTATTTTTAGACTCCTGCATGCATGTTGGTCTCAGCCAAGGTCAGGTTTATCTGTCAGACCATTAGCATGGTGGAAGTTTTTTAAAAAGCTAGACCACCAAGTCAATAAAACAGAACAATAAAACAGAAAAGGTAATAGAAAAAGAAAAAAAAAACAGAAAAAAAAAAAACTGAAAAGGTAATAAAAGCCTTTTACTTTAATTGGTGTCAGTAAGTATAAATTGTACATTATTCAATCCCTTGTTCAGTTCATCCAAAATGAGATTTAATTTATGATTTAGAGTAAAGCAAACAGACATTTTGAGCTTAAATGATGATTATGTTTAAATCTTTGGAACAAGAGGTACATTTACAAGCATTCACAAACTTTCTTAACATGTAAAGTTCCACTGCCTTGAGAAAAACTTTAATTGAGTGTCTTCCTGTGTACCTGCTATTTAGGTATTGTATTTTTACCAGTCTTTTGTTCCCATTTAGTGATATGTGTATTGTCGTTCGAAGGTGCACACAATTATTTGTTAATTCTGAAAACTGTCCAAATTAATTCTTATGCCCTTACAAGTAATTTGGACAGTTCCATATTAAGCAGTATAATTGACCAGTAACACAACTACATCCTAATCAAATTAAATTACTGTGAAAGTCCATGTATAAGCTGCACCCATGGGTAAGCTGTGCCCCCAATTTGGAAGCTCAAATTTGGAAAAAAATAAAGACAACAAAATTTGAAGTTCCAATGAAGTTCAATTTTTGACTTGAATTTTGAGAAGAAAAGGTGCTGCTTTTACATGGACTTATATGGTTCTGCAGCCATAATGTCAGTAATTTAATATTGTCAGTCCTCCAAATTTTTTTCATCCAATTATTTTCATTTGAATTGGACAGTATGTAGTCCCATTACATATAACATTTAATTAACTATTAATTCCTGTTTGCCCCCACCTCCAACAGCATGTCTGTGCTAATTAGTTAAGCTTCCAGGAGGAAGCAGTGTTCACACTAGGTTTTGCAAACAATGCATTCTGGACCCCTCAGCTCAATTTTTAAGCATCCTCATGAATTGAATTGTAACGTCTGAGAAAATAAGTTGCTGCCGCTGAATGTTTCCTGTTTACACCCGAAAAACACTTGAAACATGTGTTATACTGCCCCGAACTCACCGTGTTTATACTAGCAATGAGCACTTAAGTAAAAAAGGTACTAAAAAGGACGTGTTATGCCTGGGGGGTAGGGGGCTACTGTGCAATCTTTTATACAGGAAGGCTCTGCCCTGTGGTCCAAGCCTTTACCCATTTGTAAACCATTTTGACAGAAAAGGTACCCCTCTCACATAATGAATTTAGTGCTGAATAAATTTAATGATACAGCCACAAGGTGCATCTGTTTGATATATTTTAATTTAGTCCCTCTTACTAGTAAATACCTAAATGATCGATTTCCATACCCTTTCATGTACCTCAACTGTTAAATCCCTCCCCTATTAAACACCTGAAGTCTGAAAAACATACTCTTTTCAGGCTCAGAGCCTTTCCATATTAAGCCATTATAGGGAGTACCTCTCTGGGTCTTATGCATCTTTTTGGGCATCATTTTTCTTCTGATTGGTTCTTACATCATAACCCCTGAACAGAGGATTCATGCAATAGAGATAGCAGAAGTCTGGCAGTGATCTATACGAAAGCTGAGGAGGGACTTCTGAGTTCTGACCTCTGAGTTTCGACTTCCGACTTCCGACTTCCGACTTCCGACTTCCGACTTCCGACTTCCGACTTCCGACTTCTGAGTTCTGAGTTCTGACTTCCGACTTCCGACTTCCAAAATTTAAATGATTGATCTCTGACATGTGACTTATTTCCCTAGAAGTTGGGCCAGATTATAATATTTGTATAGTTATGTTTCGGTAAGTTGGTGTTAAGCTGCATTGTACTTACTTGTTATTTAAATCTAATTTCACTGAGAAACTAGGAACAGATGCTTTTGTTTTGCAAAACCATGTTGGCAACGTGACAGTATCGAGTCAAAGACATTGCCAAACAAAGATCGCAATGAACTGAAACTAACAAATTTTGTTGTGCCATTACATATAGACGCTTATACTTATGTTATTTACACAGTTTGGTTGCATGTAGCCTGCCAACCTTATTTTATGTATTAACGAGTGCAATCCTCAGTGTTTGGAATCGCTTTTCTCTGGTTATTTTGTGCCACTTTACTAGCCCTTCATACTGCGTTATTGAATATAACATTACTTTATCTTGTTGATTTTCTGAGAATTTCCTGCGTTCACTATAAACTCAGATGAAGAGACTTCAGTTCTAACTTTTTAACCTCCAGTAGGAACTAAAATTATCTTATGTTCTTTTTTTTCTTCATGAAGACATTAGTTGAGCCTGATTCCAAACAACTAGGGCAGTGTATTTTTCCTTGAATGTTTATTAGGAATGGATCATTATTTTTTAAGGGGGAGGGGGGCTGGGCAATTTCCAAAAAAAAAGTCCTGCACAGCAAAAACTGAAAAAAAAAAAAAATTTTTGCAAGGGGAGCTACAGGAAAAAAAATTTGGCAAGTGATTCTACTATCATTATTTTGATTTTCATATCGTAGAAAAAAAATCTTGCACAACCTATTGCCCACCAAAAAAATTATGCACGACCGTAATGTGAGAAAAACAAATTTCATGCCCCAGAAAATTCCCAACCCTTGCCCCCTCCCCCCCACTTAGAAGAAAATAAGGGTATAAGGGTCCATTGGCTTATGATGTAAATAATAACAACATATCTCGTTGTGCGACATGTTTCTCATTGTGTGGCATTGAAGAAGAATTGAATTTTGACCGACATGATTGCAAAGTAAAATTAACTTAGAGAATAGTCTCACTACGTGACTGAGCTCTTTAAAACATCAGAAATGTGAATTTTTAACTGCCTATTGCATGACATTACCCCAGACATAGTGTTTGGGGTGGAGAGTAACTCCCTTTTGAAAGAGACAGCTGGGATGCTCATCATTTCACTTAGGGGCACAAATTTCCGATATTTGGTGTCCACTTCAGCTGGAATTGTTTGGTTTAAGACAATAATTTGACCCCAAGTACAAACTAACTTAACACTAACTTGCCAAGACATAATAATACAAATATTGAAGTCCAGCCCGAAACCTGACGTCTGATTTGGCTAAGATTATAACACAAACAGCGGTGATAAACATTGTTATAAACATTATATTCAAACTCATTCTTAATCAAGCTACGATGTCTAAAAACAAGAGTTTATACGATTCTGATTTGATTAAGTTTGACTTGATTTCCAGGGAAATAATTTGCACATCGAAAATCGATACTTTAAATTTTGAAGTTCAAAGTCAGAAGTTGCAAGTCGCAAGTCAGAAGTCAGAACTCAGTAGTCGGAAGTTGGAACTCAGAAGTCAGAAGTCGGAAGTCAGAAGTCGGAAGTGTGAAGTCCCTCCTTGGCTTTTGTAGATCTAATTTGGCTGCCATGTCAAATCCTTTGCACATTTATTAACAAGTGTCTCTCCTCTATGTCCTATTAGTGGACTGGTGCAAGAGTCAATAATTTATTACAAGAGGGAGTTGTTATTTGTTCTTGAACGTATATATCCTAGTGGGAGCATCCATGTAAACTTTGTACTAATTATTAACCACGCGGCCATGGGCTGAGTGCGGTTCATGTTCTACCCGTGTTTTTTTTTTTTTTTTTTTTNTTTACCCGTGGTTTATTTTATTATTTTTTTTGTTGGTGACCAGACACAGACCTCCGCTCGGCCAAATTTCGAGTCATGCAACGTGTGATGTTTGTTCACCAAAAGCTGTTGAAACAGTAATACATGGACAATTTTTACGGATATTGTTTTCTTTGTTGTGGGTAAAATCTCTTCTTTTGGTTTTACCGAAGCGTTGGATTCAAAAGGAATAATAAATGCGCTAAAAAAAGGTATTACGTCAGCCATGGAATGTGCTAACGTTGCAGCTTTCACTTTTGCTACGTGACAAATAAGATCATGTTTACTTTGCAAGTTTATTTCACCAGAAGTGACGGTCATTAATTTATTTGCAATTTTGCAAGTATTTCTTGTGGTTTTAGGCAAATGAAGTAAATTCTTTGGCTGTTTCATCGCAGCGAGTTCATAGATTGGAAGGAAAATTAGATATTTGCAAGCCAAGTAAAGAACGTGTCAGAACGTGCAAGGATTACGTCATTGGTAGGAAATAACCACCATACTAAAGATAGCCGTGAATAACGTAATTCTTGAATTATATGACTCGTGTGACTACTTTGCTAGCCCTTTACTCATTGAAAAACCAATTAAATTTAATCATGACTTTTAATAGTGTTATTATTGTTGCATTCGTATCGTTCATGCCCATACATATTCCGAAGAAAGTTCCAGATTAAGAACATTACGTCATCGCAGATTTCACAATGGCTACGAGTACGACTGATGGTGCAATAATACAGTTTGTGTTGATCAAGTGATGTGGCATCTACAGTAATCAATGAATCATCAAGGACTGCTTTGGAATGTGCACTGCATTGCGACTGTAGTGCTAAGAAAACAGTTAAATTTTAAAAGCGCAGTTATAAGATCTAACAGATCTTCTTGTTTTATATTCCAGACTGATGAGCCGCCTCCTCAAGTTATAATGCTGCGATTAATTCTTAGACAACCCTCTCCACACTGGAGTAACTTTAGCATAGATGAGATAAAATGTTTTCCACATTCCACAGTGGTAAGTTGACAATCTGATCTATTCTTTCAAACTGCTTCCAAAACATTTTTTCTACAGTACTCTCAACATTTTGCAGATATTTCTCCAAAACTAATAAATAGTTTCAAATGATCAAGGTACTTTACTGAGTCGATACTAGAGGTTGAGTATCAACAAGCTCAACAATTCATAATTTAATAATAATAATTTCAAAACTTATAGGGTGCAAATATCTAGACAAATATATTCAAATGTGCCATAGATGAAAAAAAAAAGATAAAAGATAAAAGATAAATCTGTTGGCATAATCTTAAAATTATAAGCAAAAATAATGTACAATCTAAGCTAAAAATACAATCTCATAATCTAAGAGGTACAAAATGCTTTTTTAAAAAGGTGAGTCTTGAACTTTCTCTTAAAGGTGTCAATAGAAATGGATTCCCTGAAAACTTTGTGGGATCTTGGAACACCAAATCACTAGATGAGACTAGTTTGTAACAAAAACAGCAAGTGGAGTGCTTCCTAGTCAATTCCCCTTACCAGTAGTGTAGCAAAACAAGTAATGACAACCTGTTTATTGGCTTGAAGAAGAGTTTGTTTCTACTTAATGTATATAGTAATTAAGGCAAAGTCCAGTTTTTGCTAGTCCAGGATGTCCATCCGTTAAAAAAAATAGTCATAACGAGAAATATGTCCTGAAAAGTCTCAACGAACAGGGAAAGTCAAGTTACAAAATGTGTACAGGTGGCTATGGGTTTATTTTATCAGGTGGCAAATACCTTTCAATTTGTAACATGTTTCTTTCATGCAAATAAAATGCCTTTGGAAGGTCATTTCATAATAAAAGGGAATAAAGAACTGCAAACATCTTTACAGACCTTGTATATTGTGAAGCACGATCAAAATATTTTCTTGGTGATGTTACATGTAAAGAGTAGTCAAGTAAATTTCAGCCACTAACACATTGAGTAATAGGATTCCATTAATGTCGCTAACTTCTGGAGATGATTCATTTATTAATTGGATCCCTCTGTCTCACATCAACTGTGTATTTCTTGTGATTCTTGTGGTATTTTTTAGGTACAAAGGCAATGAGAATGTTTTGTTATTTTTCTCTTTTATTTTTGTGGCAGTCGTCAAGTAATGTAGTGCTCTTACTCCTTGACAGGAATGCTGTAAACTTCCGAAAGTAACACCTCCCCCCCCCGAATACAATGGTTGGAATTGTAGATTACTAGTGTAAAAGTTATATTAAATTGACCCCTGGAGTTCACTGACCATGAGCAAGATCAAAAACTTATACTTCTGCTGGAACCAAGTAGAAAATTAATTATATGTATGCTCAGTTGCTTGCAACCAGGACTGATAAATAATGGGGCTGCATCCTCGAGAGAGTTACTGGAATGGGGTTGCTCATTTTCGGTAACAAGACGCAACATTTTTGCAGAACTCCTAGTGCTAAATTAAGCAGATCTAAAGTTACCTTATACTGCGAAATTGGTGAAATCTATGACACAACTACATGACAGCTCTTTATATTTGAAGGAAATGACCTTTCCTGGAATGAATTTCTTAAGTAGGCTGATAACCTGAACATTTCCCACCAAAATCCTTCTGGGCTTTTCCCATCTTCAAGCATGCTACATTGTACCATAAACTTCCGAAAGTGACGAATCCCTGGAAGTAGCCACCCGCCAAGAGTAACATCAAAAAATTGCGGCTGCTAGTAAATCCTGAAAGTAGCGACCCCCTCCCTCCCCTGAAAGAAGCAACCCCCGAAAGTAGCGAGAAGAGGATTAAAAATAAACTTTTAGAAAAAAATTAATGTATTAAATGATTAATTAATATCCAATGTCAAGCAAATAGTTTTGCTTGGATTGTTCATTTTAGTGACTCAAAACATAGACCTAAAAGACTCTAAAACATAGTTTGCTTTTATTATTAATTTTTAGTTGCTTGTGCATTAAAAAACTTCTGTTTTTACTGTTTGTTGATCAATATTATTAAAATAGAGTTCTCCATTGTTAAAAAGATGTCTTCAGAACAATGATTGTTATGACCCATTTGGAATCAAATCACCGCAGGTATGTGATTATCCTAGGCTATTGCTTTTGCAGCAATCAGTCTTGTGTTGTATTTTATCAGACAACCTCTATTAATGTTACTTTACATGTAAGTTACAGATCTGATATTAGTTCCTGTTTGAGCCACGCCCATCCAAGCTGGCAGAGTTATCTTGTCAGAAAAGTAATTAGTATGGTTGAGACATCAGTTCCAGAATGTTAAACTTCTGCCATGAACATTTGGGGCCCATTATACAAACCCCAAGTACCAACCCCAGGAGGAACGTTGGGCAGAACAATGCTTTTGCATGTTAATTATATGGCAGTTACTCCATGAAAGATGTGCATGTACAGTTTTTTTAGTTGTAGTATAAGAAAATGAAAGAATGAGCACAGAGTGGAAGGAACGAATGGAAAGAGCATCTCAAAATACATAATGTGGCCAAGTTTCAGCACAAAATCTTGCATAGAATTGACGGAGGCATTGACCCAAGAACATTGACATTTATAATTCTCTTGTATCCTTGCATTTTGCAAACTGCAGGGATACAGAGCATCACTGTATTTCGAACTAAAGCTTTCAGTCTGGCAGTTAAAAACAGTTTAAAAAAATGCAAAAAAAAAATAATGTAAAACACAACTTACCACAACGGCTAATTTTGTTTTTCCTCAACACATTTCACCACCTCGTTACTAACAGTTCATCATAAAATTATTAGTCAAGAAGCTCAAAAACCAGCCTTTAAAGTTTGTTTTCACTTCCGCCTGAAATAGACAACAAAAAAAGGTGTCTCATTTTTAGAACCATGCTTGCCCAAGGCCGCACGGTTAATTAGTCCTTTAAAGAGGATTCTAGAAACTGGAAGTGTATATACACAGAAAAGAAACTGTGATCCTAATAGGTGTATAGTTTTGAGTAATGAAGTGTTGTAAGCAGAGTAGTCAGCATCATAGACTTAAACCAGCTTTTTTCAGACATTGATCGTTTGTCCTGTCTAGGAACAGCCCTGCCCTAAGAGAGACATACTAACCATGCTGTAACTATAACACAAATAGCACACAGATTGTTGCTGTCATTTTCTTTTCCAATAATATTGTACACCCAAATAATTATTATGCTTTCATTCAATCCATGGCTATTTCAAACACTCTGAACATCAGAATCAAAGGAAAAAATGTTTTCCTAATCTTCCGTGCAGAATCGTCCAAATTCAGCAGGTGTTGCCTCCAACATTCAGGAACTCTGGGCTATGACACAGGAGGTGAAAACATCTAAACAGAGAGCAACTGTGGGCCGTTTTGATGTAAGTGAAGCTTTCTTTCATTTCTTGTTATTTTCCATGCTTTTTTTAATTTCATCTTATTTTAATACTGTTCTTTTTAGAGCCCCTGAGCTACCTGAGGGCCTCTAAATTTTCTGGATGTTTTTTTCAAATGTAGAGGAATCTATGGAACTGTACGTAGAGCAGGCATGGCGTGAGACTACATAGCCAACTAGTCGATGACTTATAAAAATTTACATTAATTCAACTTGTTAAGATGTGTATTCTGGGCTTCAAGTTTGTCCCTGTCCCCTATATCTTTTAGATTTCTCCATATTTCCCTAAAGCTGTAGTTGCAAAATTTTATACCCTACATGTATAATCCTTTTTTTTTGACTTCATGAAATCTAAAAGGAATCCCAATTTTTTTTTTAAGCCAACTCATGAAACTGCAAACAGACATGTTTCATGTAATACATATGACAAGGGTAGTCAAAAAGATTTCGAGAGGAGTTAACATGTTGCTTGACAACAATCAATCATTAATTTTCAAATAATCATTAAACTTATTTCAGTGGAACACTTAAGCTGTTTTGATTGATACTGCTGATAGCGTAATGAATTCTAACAAAAATCTTAATGTGTTATGTACATGTACACAGTACTTCATAGATAAAGAACTATCAATTATCACCTATATTTCTATTCACATTTTATTTTGTGTCTCCTCACCTTTAAAATTAACCTAGTGAAATTTTGCTATTGACTTTTCCATCCTTTGGACTCGAGTTATTACAAACATCTTCATTCCTTCATCGCAGTAAAAAAATACTTGAATCAGAGGATCGAAATTACTCACATTAGAGCAGGTCCCAAACTGACCAAAATGGCAAATCACTAAGGTGTTAGCACTACAAACCGTGCGATTTGTCAGATGACTTTTACAACCTGGAGAAGTTAATTGATAAAAATCAATATCGATATCTCCATCGATAAATCGATAACATTCAGTAAATCCCATCTGATTTTATTGATCAATTGGTAGAAATGGATGACACACTCCTTTCATTTATTGATTTCTTTTGATTGTTACCGATTACAGCTATTTATAGTTTAGAAGAGTGTTTTTGGACTGGCGGTATCAAGTTGACCGCTGACCAAGTGTTGTTTTTTGATTGAATAGTGGGCTCAAGCCAGGTTAACCTGTCGTAATCAGGGCCGGGTTGTCTGAAATTCGGTTAACGCTAACCCAGGATTAAAAGTTTACAGAAGTTTAAATTTTTCTTGTATAAAAATGTTTCCACTGCTTATGTTTTGTGTAGGTTATTCAGGCTCAAGACAGAAGGCCAAACAATATAAACAGAAAATCTCACCACATAGCTTTTGTAAAAAAAAAAAAAAATTCATCAAATAAGTGCTTTTTGCTTGCAATTTATTATCTATTTTTGGTACACTTTCAAAAGTATCACTATTTTGCTTATAACAAGAAAAATCCCAAGATCGACAATTGTTTTGGACTGTCAGTCAAAAAGCATCCCGTAATGACAGGAATGTATTTCAAGACCAGTATATTTCAGGAATACTTTACGTGAAGGTGGGTGGGGTGGCAGTAAACAGGCAAGACTTAGGAAATTAGACTTAGGAAATTAGACATGCCCCTTGTGCCACTTGTGCCCCTTGTGCCCCTTGCACCCCTTGTCCCTTGTGCCCCTTGTGCCCTTTGTGCTCCCTATGCTCCCTATGCCCCTTGTGCCCCCTATGCCCCTTATGCCCCTTATGCCCCCTATGCCCCCTATATAAGGAAAGCAGTGCTTTTTTCAAACTTCAGTAGTAAAACACAGATAATTCGTTAAATTACATAAGTGTCCCAAGGACTTTTGTCCACGATTGTAGCTAACCGTCATGAATGGCTTAATGTAAATAAGCTTAGCCTGAATATTGCTAAAACTGAACTAATGTTAATAGGCTCACGTCAGAGACTTGCTACTGCATTTGGTCATTCACTTACTTTACAAAGTGAAGGTCACGAAATTGATAGAGTACCCTACACCAAATCCTTAGGAATCTACATCGATCAAAATCTTTCGTGGTCCAAACATGTTAATGAGACTGCCAATATTACATCCTCTGGTACAGGTGCACATAAAAGGTTGAGGCGGTTCGTTTGCTAAGATACAGCTATATTGCTATATAGAGCTGTTATTGAAACGTATTTTGATTATTGCTGTCCTGTGTGGGACGGTTTCAACAACGAGTCAGCCGACAAATTACAAAAACTACAAAATCGCGCCATTAGGGTTATCACCAAGTCTGTGATTACTATTTTAGCGCTACCGCCCTCCGCGGTAAGCTAGGATGGGATAATCTCTGTACCAGAAGGAAAAAGGAAATATTGAAATTGATTTTAAAAGCTTTGAATGATCAGTCTCCGGAGTACCTGTAAGGCCTATTTAAACCCTTCGGCACGGACTACGGACTTAGAAATAGTGAAAACAAACTGGCTCTGCCTAAGCCCCCGTACCGATTTTTTGAAACGTAGTTTCTGCTACAGTGGGGCACATTTGTGGAACAGCCTTCCATCTAACGTTCGAGCCATTAGATCTTTTATTAACTTTTGATATGAGGTAAATCGCCACCTGTCCTCCTCGTACTCCCACACGGCAAACATGTAAATCAGTTTTTTGTTTTGTTTTTGTTTTTGTTTTTTTAATATGTTTCAATCTTGTAACTGATGTTTTTACAGTGTCTAAATAAAGTGTGTATGCGTATGCGTATGTATGCGTATACCCCTTATACCCCTTATACCCCTTTTACCCCTTATACCCCTTATACCCCTGATACCCCTTTTACCCCTTTTACCCCTTATACCCCTTATACCCCTTATACCCCTGATACCTCTTATACCCCTTATACCCCTTATACCCCTTATACCCCTTTTACCCCTTTTACCCCTTATACCCCTTATACCCCTGATACCCCTTTTACCCCTTATACCCCTTATACCCCTAATACCCCTGATACCTCTTATACCCCTTATACCTTTTATACCCCTGACACCCCTTATACCCCTTATAACCCTTATACCCCTTGTAATCTCTTGGTTAGACTAATTAAATTAAATACTGTTAAGTCTTGAAGGAAATACTGTGTCTAAATAAAGATTTTACCTTACCCTTTATGCCTTTATACCCCTTATACCCCTTATACCCTTTATACCTTTATACCCCTTACACCCCTTATACCCGTTCTACCTCTTATACCCCTCATACAGCTTATACCCCTTATACCCCTTACACCCCTTATACCCCTGATACCCCTGATACCCCTGATACCCCTGATACCCCTGATACCCCTGATACCCCTGATACCCCTGATACCCCTGATACCCCTGATACCCCTGATACCCCTGATACCCCTTATACCGATTATACCCCTTGTGCCCTTTATACCTGTTATACCCCTTATACCCCTTTTACCCCTTATACCCCTGATACCCCTAATACCACTTATACCCCTTATACCCCTTATGCCCCTTATACCCCTTGTACCCCTTATACCCCTTGTACCCCTTATACCCCTTATACCCCTTATACCCCTTATACCCCTTGTACCCCTTATAGACCGGTTACATTTTGGGATTAAAAAGTTGCAAACTAAAGTAGAAATATATTGACCTCTGTCTTCTCCATAATTTATGAAAGTGCCAAAAAAGCCAGACGAGGAAAAAAAAGTACAGAGGATGAGCAAACTTTGGCAGATTTAAAATCAGCTCATCGCCATTCACAAGGAAAATGTCCACTAGTACAAATCAGGCTCTTTAAAAGAATTGATTTTTTCCTGTTTTGCTATGTAATAAACATCTTAACCGAGCTTATTCGGTCTGTATGGGACACACACTTGACCTTGGTCGTGTGTACAGACCTCACTGCGTTCGGTCTGTACTCACGACTTCGGTCAAGATTCTCCCATACAGACCTCCTGCTAGGCTAATAAGAGCTTATTATTTAGCTACGAGAACGGAATGGCAAAAGATATTTGAGCTGCATTAGTTCATGAAAAATCGATAATATTGATTTGACACACCAAATTAATTTATCGATTTTCACCGATTTCCGTTATAAATCGGTAATAATCACTTGATCAATACCGAAGTTTTTCGATTGACTACTCCGGGTCATGAGTGCGCGCGAAGCGATCTCCTGCCCTCAGTGGAGAGTGAGAAAGAAAAACCAGTCTAGCGTCTAAAAATATCCATGAATAGATGACATGGCCAGTGAAACAAGTCATTTGGTTAGCAAATTGAGTAATGTCGACAATGGAATATCTGACTTATATCAGTATAAGAAAAGTAGATTACATACCACGGGCATGCTAAACTTTAACTTTAATTATAATATAGATAGGACCCTGCGCGCGCTCTGATTGGTCAAAAACCCATGTTATGAGTGTAAAACATAGAAAAAGTATGTTTTATTGTTTTTCGCCACATTACCTCTAGTCAACATTTTTGTCAGAGATGGCGAAAACAAGTTTTTTAAAGAAATTTGTGATGGAGGTCTCTGCGAAGCAGCAGAAAGTTTTGAAGACGAGGCATGTAGCACTTTAGTGATATTAAATTGCGTCAGTTTGTCGATCTGTGTGCTTTGTTGTTTCAACTCGCGGCATGTAAAATCTATATCATGAAGCAGATGAAGAAGCCTAAGCCGTGTACCTCGAGAAATGAAGAAAACCCTCGTCTGCGGCTCGTGTTTTCTACATTTCCCTCGTGTTCTCAAATGCCCGTCGTGTTTTATTTCATTGTATTACACGGCTTAAGCTTCTTTATTTGTTAATTGCCTATAGCTCGCAAATCCGACAGTGGTGGTCAGCAGGGTGCTCAGGTGACATATTTACAGCGAAGGAATATATAGAACTCACGTTCACACAGGCAATAATTTACAGAAAAGCAGGCTATACTAGGTTTTATCATTGGGCGATTTCGGTGAGTGAGAGTTACAATTTAGAGTTCATTAATGTCCCACTTCTACTTATTATGTTGTTCTTAGGTTGACAGGAGCTATGACATCAACTTATTGTCCTATACATGACACTACTGGATCATTACAGTTGGTCTCTTTATGTTCTCCAAGCTGAACGAATCAAGGATCACCCTAAACTATCATTACAGCTGGTCTATCTATGTTCTCCAAGCTGAACGAATCAAGGATCACCCTAAACTATTATTACAGCTGTTGGCTGGAAAGCGTATCCCTGAGCAAAACCTGGCATGAAATGAAGATTTTTCGCTTCATGCCCCTGAGTCGCTCCAAAACACGGTTGCGGCTATTAGAAGTTGTAAAGAGTTGATAACATGCTAGCTGGTTGGAAAGCGTATCCCTGCACTGATGAGCCAAACCTGACGTGAAATGAAGATTTTCCCTTCATGCCAAACCTGACCCGAATCGCTTCTTGAACTTGAACTATAATTTCCTTGTTTTTTGCATACAGTTACAATTGCTTTATACCTCCCAATTGCCTCAGAAACACAGATAAATTAAAGCTACTATAAATTGTAAAGACTCCAAACCGCACTGCTCCCGACAAGGCAGCAGGCCCTGGAAACGAACGAACATTTCCCGCCTCGTTATAGCTTTCGTGATGTAACATTGGGTGCATGTCAAGCCATTGCCCCGAGATCGATTTCATTCTTCACAAGAATGGCGTGCGGGGCACGTGGCTTGGTGAGTACCAATGAGTTATTTATTTTATATTAGTCTTTTATGAGAATTAACGTATATTCCAGTTATTGTGGACAAAAAACTATATTGTATTTCGTTTTCGATAGTTTCATAGCAATGTGAGAAGAGCTAATATGCCGAACTTGTTGTTCTCGTCCTCGTAACTGTTAAGGTTTCTTTGTTTACACAAACCGATTGTTCATTGTATGTTACTTTCTCAGACCTTACTTTATATCGTTTTCACTGTTGTTATTAGAAATTGAAACCTTTAATTAAGCCTTTATTCGATCGTTTCGAATTTGCCCGAAATCGGTAAACACATATCTTTTTGTATTATTCCTTATTTTGTGTAGCCACTAACTATGATTAAACCAAGCCTTGAATGACATGTCGTCGTCTCCACGTTATTCCCGTCCGATACACGCACATTTGAGCGAAATCGGGCATTAAGTGTCGATTTTCGCTTTATTTTTTGATTTTCCCAATTACTTTAGCAACATAGTTAGAGCGACTACATGCCTACTAAACAATTCGACCTAAAGCAGTGCAAAATATGGAACCTGGTCTGGCCAGCCGAAATATTGTTTTAAATATTCGACGTTGTGTCAGTCTTGCAGCGGTCTTTGACTTCTCATTGTTTTACTTTTCAAGTTTGGCTGATTACATCTCCTGTGAGATCCAACGTTCAATCAAGCAGGGTCTTTGCAGTTTTTTTTTTCTGTCACAGAAGAGCAGTTCGTGACCTTCCGTGCTGAAAGCTGAATTGATTTAATCATAACCCTGAAAACGGCCGAAAAAACGTCTTTCTTTCTGATGTCTGCTAGGCCTTTCCACAAATGTCACCTAAAATTACCTAAATATCTTTCCGGAAATTCTCAAAAAATTTCTAAATAAGACAAAACATTTTCTAAATATCTCGTATATTTCGCCGCGGTCAATCGTTTCGAGTCGTGTGGGCCAGGCATAAACTGAGACAATGGGTGCTTGTCGGAATGAACCGGTTGGGATGACCGTTGTATAGTGGTAAGGGTTTTTCCAAAATCAGCAACCCAACCGAATGAGATGGCGCTCACCATTTGCAATTCGATTACTCGTAATTGTTTTCGGCTGATGAGAAACTGAAAAGTGGAACATTAAATGGTAAGGAAATTTCCGCCGTTCCATTCCAAACGGAAAAAGAGGACTACCTCTGAACGTAGTCTACAATTTCCGAATGGATTTTCCAGAAAATTACTGTTCCATTTGACTTTCAAGCGAAATTTCCGCATTTTTTTGCTAAATGGTAAGCACCCAATTTGTCTCAATTTTTGACTGAGCCGGTTTCCTCTCGCGAAGGTAAACAAATTTTAGAAATCCGCATGTCATCTCAGGGGGGCTGCACACCCCACCCGATTCTCGTCCCCATAGCCCTTTTTGCTTCTCTTAGCTGGTGGAGCCTTGGCACGAGGCCCCGCCGATCGATAGGGCAACTGAAAATCAAAGAATTTGGTCATAAATAGGGTAAGGGTTTTGGGGGGCTGGCTGCACACCCCCACCCAACTTTTCTGGGGGTACCCCCTCCCTCCGTTAATTGTTTAGGCTACTCAGGGTGAATTTCAATGATGTTACCAGATCCCACGTTACCCTTGTCCAGAGGAACGGGAAACGTCTTTGATTGTGCACGACATACATGCATGCATACATACATCCATGGGCCAGGACCCTGGAAAGAGCCATTTGGTACCAAAACGAAGGACAAATTCTAACACTCAGTTTTAACAACATTGATTCCTCTAGGTTATTTTGGTGTATGATAACCGTGCCAAATGAGTAGCTTTACCAAGATTATCATGTGGTTAAATGACGTCACTCGGTTTGGCTGAACAAGCAGAATTCGTAAAAAGATGCCTAATAACAGTTAAATACTTTTTAATATTTTAAACATTTCAGCGTATCTTTTAAAGTAGTTAGTTTTTTTATAGATATATATTATTTATACATGCTCTTTTTATTTTACGTTATACAAGGCCCCCGTTGATACCAGTCCTGCGACTGAAGGGGTCACCCTGTTTAAATATTGATTATTATTATTATTATTATTAAATGCAAACCTGAAAATGTTACATACATTGATTTTTGGGTATTGCAAACTTCCAACGCAGTTTTCAGACCTAATTCCAACAACTTATATATGACTTATAGGTATTATCCCTGAACAGTTTCCATGGCAACACTTGTCAAATTATAAATATGAACAATCAGACGGAAAATGTGAATAAAGAAAGTGTCTGTTTAAATTGCATTAGTTACTTTCGAACACTCGTTCTAAACTGCATTGACCCCTCTTGCATAGTTTGATGTATGATAACCATGTCAAATGAGTAGCTATACCAAGCTTATCACATGATCAATTGCAAATGACTCAGTTTGGCTGAACAGATAGAACTGGTACGAATGTGATTAGTACGGTCAAATACAAGCAAATGTAAATACAGTCATGTTATATATACTGGTCTTTAGTTATTGAAAATCTCAAACGTTTGCAGAGCTTATGTAAACAACTTATATTTAACTTAAAGAAACTGTTCCTGGATGGTTTCCATGGTTACACTTGCCAAATGTTAAATATGAATAATTATTTGGGACATAAGAAACTGCTTGTACGTGTTACAATGATAATTAAAGTTAGATTTCCTCGTCTTCGTTGCTGTCATCTGAGACAAACTCAGCGCTCGCACGATCATAAAGCTATAGGGAGCCACCTTAAAAGGCAGGCAAACGAGGAAAAAGGGTCAATACAATGCAGAATTGACCCTTTGGCCCCATTTGTGTGTCAAGCCGCTGATAACTGCAATAACAGCTTTTGTGAAATAAAAATTGCACTTGGTTTGCGCTATCAAATTTTCGCAAATTCTAAAAGATAAAAATTTGCTGGAACCCCTACATTAAGATATCTGTGAACAAAATGTCAGAAATTTGCCAGATGTGTCGTTGACCGGCGTTTCCCAACAGTCAGGCGTTCTTATTTTTGATATTGTGATCTGTGGTTTGTACTAAGGACGCAGTTAGATCTGTATACTCTTTGTTCCTATCCAACAAATGCCACAAGCTACCAGGAAGAATAACAAGCCTAAATGGCTTAAAACCGCCTCCAGGAACACAGGGGCATAAAAAAATGAGAGGAAAACAAACATGTAAGGTAAGCCACTTTTATTTAACATCTGGTCTACATGTATGTACGAAGTACTTAGAGCAATTTTCGAAATATTCTCACACATTGGCCTATAAATGGCTGAAATCATAACATAATTGCCAACAGCACAATGTCACATAAATCCTATACTGAACATTTAGGCCGCCTGTGTTGTTGGAAATTCCAGGTGTAGATTTGAGAGGGCCTGTATCATTTTCCCTTAGCAGAGGGCGGGGCTTATGACCAGATTTTAATGATGGTCTGAACATTGCTCTCTCACGCAAATTCTTCACTTTATCCTTGAGTGATACCATAGATGAGCAATTTAGGGGAAGAGACCATAAATTCAAGTTTCAAATAAAGGAGTGTTTGGAATGAGGGATCACTCAACAACATGTTTCACACAATGAAATGGTATAAACAGAAACAGACGAGATATTTAAGTAACATTACTTTATTAAGGACAAATACAGACATCATGGTTAATCAAAGGGAGGCATCTATACACATTTTTACATCGCTACTGGTTGACTTCTCTTGTATTCAAACAATGCTTTTATCCATAGCGGTATTGAGAGATTGATTTTTGAACATTCCACACTTTCCTAACTTCTCTGTGAATGTTTGAGACTTAGCATGAAAACTTGTGGGCATGGTATGAACTGTTGGACGATGGCGCCTGTGAAAGAAATTAACAAGAATTCAGTTAAGGTGTTATTATGTGGTTGAACTAGTCCACAATGAAAAGGAGAGTTTTGTTAGTTCCTATTACAGTCACAATTCTGTGGCTATGTTTTTGCAGATACAGACATATATATTCTATGAACTCTTCCAAGCATTCTTCAAATTGTAGAAAAAACTTACCCATATTCCATAGAACTTGTCATATACATTGGATTTTGCTTCTTAGTATTGTAACCTTCAAACCAGTCTAAAAGAAAGTGGATCTTAATGATTATTTGAAAAAAGACTAAACATGTATAATTAAGACCCTATTTCCCAGATGGGGAAAAGGGTATGAGGATGAAACATAAACAATAAAAACACGTCCTACATATTGTGACATTCTACCACAAGGAAAACACTCAGACTGTGTGCTCCATATGTAATGTATCTTCCACTTAGTATCTAGTTGACACTAATGTAGAATAATCTTCTGCAGATGCATTAAGAGCAAATTGCTTTGTTTTAGAATAGTACCACAAGGAGAACACTTGGGGTTTTCTGAAACAAACATATGCGAGATAAACCTTTGTAATGATAACAAAGAAGTAACGTAGGAACAACACGTTTCACATAGCGTGCAAAGTTAGCTGCCCCACGCAAGCTCACATAGCTTTCCCCTTATTCCCTGCAAGACTAATTTATTAATTTTAACATACAAACAAATTTGCCAAAATAAAAACAGGACTCTTGGGTTTCTCAAAGACTTGCCCGTCTGGGCGTCTCAAGACCACCAAACCCCATAATCAGAAAACTCAGTGACTCATAAAATACCATGAATTCCATTTGAAAATCCCATTAAAAAGTATTGTTTAAAAACAACATGCATAAATTTTTCATAGTGACTGGAGATTCTCAATTTCATGTAGTCTTTCTCCAGTCCATTAATTTCCCATTAAATTAGAATCATGGCCCATGAAAAAGGCTTTCATGGCCATGAAAAATTTGAAACACATCGAAATAGTTTTTAAAAGGCCACAATATATCCCTGAAAACTGAAGTCACTGTGGTATAATTCAGAACCCCTAAAAGAAACCTCAATTCATGGAACACAAAATTTTGCATCAAGAAATTCAAGTGTAAGCTATTATGAATCCTGAGTTTACTTTGCACTGTGGCAGTCGGCCAATAATATTATAGTGATCTTAAGTGGCAAAAACAAACAACTGATGTGATAACTTTAGAAGCAATGGACTTTGAAAGTTGTGCTTTGTGTTGCCAATCAAATTCATGATTTTAGTCGAGGATTGCATCAATTCTGCTTGAAATTCCATTCAATGTCTGCGTAATAATTCAACTTTGGGACCATAGAATTCCACTAATGTAATCAATGCTGAAAATTCAGTTGGCAGGACTTATCCAAGCCTGTATGTAACTAGCAGAGTATACGGTGAGTCAATCAGAATCAGAAATTCCAAAATTCGCATAGTTTAGCATAGTTAAAAGGCTGATAATCTAGCATATTTATGATAAGCATATTTATTAAGAATCCACAGTGTATATAGTCTTTGAACAGGCTCCAAGCGAGGATGGACAAAAAATTCGGCAAGCACAAAACTGAAGAATTTGGAGAGCAAAGCAATCAGGGTGGGACAGGGTAGCCTGTAGACTTTGTTTTTGATGTAACTATCCACCCTTGGTGATTAGCCTGTAACAAAACAGTCAATGAGGTAATTTAACCTGTCAAGAAACTACATTTTCTGTACTTGGAAACAGTTGTAATTGACGTAATCAAACAGCCAGGCCCAGTGTCATAATATAGAGTGAATTTTCTCTTGGTGCAAGTAAGCAACATGTTCACAGAATATTTCAAACTTTGTCCCTCCAGATCCAATACTTAGAGAGCTTAAGACATATTTTGCAATACTTTTACAATGACATGATAGAGGTGTCAAACTCTGTGAAGTGACATGCAGATAACAACGGAAAGTCCGGAAACCATGCCTTTGACCTCTAAAAAAATTGCCATAACATAGCCAAAAGGCTCCACTCTACTTAAAATTCCTCCTCATAACACAGCATAAAGTACTCTTCAGAATCACTTGTGAAACAACAAAAGGTCAAGAGACTGAAAATTAAAAGAGAATAGCAAATGCACAAACATCATGAACTGAAGAAGTTGTATAGGGCAGTGGGCCGCATTTTACAAAGATCTGTCAAATGTTTGTCTCAAAGATGTCAACAATCAGCAATTTAACCGATCATATGATACCAGATCCTGGCATCATGGAACGGCAGCATCAATAGAATGTCTACAGGCTCCCTTGCTTTGTTCAGGCTCAGTGGGAGCCTGTTTGCAGGCTACAGTGTATATGAATATTGAGTAAACATGTTCATGATCAGATATTCATCTCCAATTTGTTTGCTGTTAAAGTGTATATTATATAAACAGACTGTTAACAAGAGACAGTCTATATGGATCAGAGTTTTCAAACACATTCAGAGGGTGCAAGTTTTTGGATGATATTTTTGAGACATCCTGAAGGTCAGGTAGAAAGTGTGAGTGTTTGAGGTCCATGTTTTGACATGCCACAACTTTACCACTCAATATGCAACAGGCTGCATTACCTTCATCCTGGTTTACTGCAGTAAGGGAATTAAATTGAACTTCAGTAGGACAGGAGAATACAGGGTTGCCTGGGTTATTAATTAGATCTGTAGGAGAGAATGAAACATACCCGGATTATCAAACCGCTCAGGAATGTTGAAAGTGCGGTAATAGTGAGAAGTAACTGCACCTTTGCCTGCCTTTGTCTGCTCAAAGTCATATTCTGCATCTCCTGCTCCAGGGTGACCTTTAGGGGAGTCCTGAAAGGAATATTTAACTTCGTTATCAGGAAACAACAGAAATATTAACTCAATCATGGCATAATTTTCTTCATAAAAGTTGTGTCCTCTTTCCCTTTTATGAAAGCACTTGGCACTTCTTTATTCATCTCAAGTACATGTATTAATATGTACTATTAATATACATGCGGGAATCCAAAAATAAAATAGAAATCATCTATGATTACATATTTTCAAATTTTTGTAGTCAATTTTATAACTTTAGAGACACATACTAACTTTTAAAAGTCTGTTTAGTGTTGTGAGCTTTCTTATATATGGGACACTTATTGTATCTAAACAAGAGTTCAGTTAGAGACAATCGTCAAAATCACCTAAAATGACATAATTTGATTCGGACTGGATTAAATGGAGGCAAAAAAAATGAATTAGCCAAAGTTTAATGTGGAACTCAGAGAATGGAATGTTGATGTGAAACAGAAAGTTTTGTATTGTTCCTGAAAAGTACAAAAAGTTACTTTCTACATGCAATGATTAAAGCTTCTCCAGACTCTGACTAAGTTTAAATAACACTGTGTGTCAGAAATGACAAAATCAGTGTATTCCATGCACTCCACTCATACACTGAAGGTAACTGACAGATATTTAAGCAACAGAGCTTTTTTTTTTCGTGTTCACATATCCTCATCTAAACACAAGGAGCGTTGGGAGAATTTGAGACAGATATACAAACCTGAGATGTAATTGAGAGTTTGCATAACTTTGGAGAATTCTCCCAGCCCCCAGCCCCCAGCCCCCACCCCATCCCCACACCGCAGTCTCAAAAGTAGGCACAAATCTAAAACGTCACAACCGTGTTTACATACTCTGATCTCAACACACCTGTCGACTAATGACAGTGACTAGTGTGCACAGTAGCTCAGTTATTTTATAAACCAAGATATCATTTTTCTGAAATCACATTGAGCAGCTTGACCTCCAACCGGTATACCATAACATGTGTAGGGAAATAACCCTCTTAATACAAAATAACCCTCTTAATACAAAATTCAATTGTTTATTTTCTATAAGCCCACTTGTTTACAGAAATATTTTCACAGACGAGTACTATCCATCCAGGTATTTTCCTCGGACGGGCACTATGGGCTGATAGTGTCTCTCCACAGATGAACACTATCGAGTCACGTGATCAATTTAAACCAATAAGAATCGGAAAAAATTTAGTGGTGAACTATAAGAGGTGATAGTTGATTCAGCCTTCAGCCTCATCAACTATCACCTCATAGAAATCTCAAGCTCATAATCTAATTGTTGAATGGCGTCGAGCTTGGTTACTATTCCAATATGGCGTCCGGTTCGGTTACTATTTGGCGTCGGACTCGGGCGCTCTCGTCCAGGTCGACTAATTACGAACAGTGTCTACACCTGAGTGAGTGACACATTTGCATATCGGAGTCCCCGCAACAAACACCTTTCTTCGCTTCGCGTATGCACGAGTTTAAAAAAGGGAAAATAAATGATTGATTGATTGTTACAGGCTAATCACCAAGGTCAAAAACAAAGTCTTCAGGCTACCACCATGTTCGACTCGCCTCTCTCACCTATCTTTTCTCGCGCTCGTCTCGCTTCGGTCTCCAAATTTTATATTTCGTCCTCGCCGGGAGCCAATTCACAGGATATTTTGACCGAGAACAACCAGGGTGCAATGATTTGAGTTCGATGTATAGGTGAGCTAAAAGCGAGGTTCAACCATGGACGTTTCGTAATTTAAAAGTTTTTCTTTACAAAGGACATGTTTTCTTACCTTCATTTGTTCTAAGTTTTCTGTTCGTGACTCCATCGTTTGAACGTACAGATGGTCGAGTGGAGAAGCAGCTACATGCAGCACAGGGCTATGACTGTCAGTTGCTATGACAATATCACAAAAACAATGGGTTTTGCAATAAGTACGCATGAGTAAAGTCCCAAAAAAGCTCTGGAACCTGGGAACGACTCGACGCCTGGGGACGAGAATGACATCAAATTTCTTTTCGGAACGATGCTGTCACTGTATTCCTAAATTGGAAGCTCAGAATCGGGTCATGAGAATTTCGCTCAAGGGTCCTTCAAATATGAAAATGTCTCGCTGGAGAAAAGCTTAAATATATTAGCGCTGTGAAAGAAAATCTTTTTTAAGCCTAAATGTATGGTGTCGTGTCGTTGCTACTAATTTTAGGGCAAGTTTTACAGTCGAAGTGTTGCTAAGTTTGTTCTGCGGCTTGATAGATTTATTATTTTCTTCCAACAGCAACGTGCAGTGAACTAGCCTGGGGCATCCCCTAACTTGTTGACATCGCGTTTCATAAAGCGGGGGTCTGAAGGTCTTCGTAGCAGAAGTGCTGCAGCATTTTAACGTCAGGAAGGAGAAAGAATTGCACGACATAAGTAAGTCTAGCTTTGAAATGTCTTTGACTTTCACTTTTCAAAATTTTCAGGATTCTTAGAGCTATAAATTCGCTTAAAATTCGCTTTTTCCAACTTCCGGGTTATCATGTCGCGTTAATGTCCACGATCGTTCTTTGAGCCCGAATCTTATTTTTGAGAAATGGAGTAATGCTGCTAGAAGTAAACTTCTGGAAAAGCTGGCTAACCGGAATATGGCGTGTACAGGTTAAAACTAAAAAATACCGTTCCCCTGTCACAATTTCGGCGCGATTTGTGTCAAATCGTGTGGCTCTGGTAGGCGCTTTTCCTCAGAGTCTATTTCAACAAATCCATATGTATCAAAATATCTTACCTTGTATATGCTCTGCGTTAAATGGACTTGTGTTTATTCATATTAGATGTTACAACACTCCAGTTTGCCTGAATATCACTTCGGTTAGCCTGAATATCATATACTCCTTTTAGCCTGAATAACGTTTCGGTTTACAGCCTGTTTACGGTTCTCTCTCAATGATCCCGGCGTACGAAACGTCGCTCCACTCATGTGCCGAACCAAACTTGATTAAGTACGACTTTAGAGCGACTTTGGAGCGACGGCTGGTTCAGACGGCGTACCTGCGTCGAACTTAATTCGGGAAGCCGGTGGTAACAATTTTCGACGAGAAAATAAGCGTTCTGTATTCAAGACCTCTGTCCAAACAGAAAACTTGTCACTAACATTTCACTGTTATAACACAGGTAACCCAAGCTCCTTTGGGAACCATCGACATGACATTGCGTAACAGCCTTATTATAAGAGTTAATATGGGAACATAACGATCGTACAAAATAGTTCAAAATGAGGGGGAAAAGAGTAATAAAATCGACTTACCAGTCCTGTATAACTTGTGTTTTTATGGCATTTGGAGGGGTTTCAGAGTGATTACAGTGGGTTTTAGCTTCTCTGTATTCCTCTCCCTATAGGAGAATCTTTGTTTACAATATTTGCCTCATTACCATAAGCGATACAGTTTCTGATGGAGCTACAAAGAGATTAATACTGAATGTGAATGAACTGTCCCAAGGAATTTGAGCGTGATGTATTGAATACTTTTTGTGCGACAAGGGTTTAAAAGCTCAAAATTTTACAAAGAATGTGTGAGCTCATTAGCGCTTTTGCCACACAGAAATTTTGATGTTTTTGAAAGCCAATTTCTCCTCGAATATTACACCCAAAGAGCCAAAAATTTCACCACTTACTAAGTTTCACAAGCTCTTTAAGTTTTTCTAGTAAAATAGTGTCTAGCTTGATGCCTTCTATGCACAAAGTTGTATGTTAATGAGCAAAAAGTGTAAACAACGACATCAGCAAAGATTCGCCTATAAAGAGAGACAAGGTAGGGCACTCGAGTGACAGGGCCCAGCAGATCGACCAAAGGAATCCAGCCATAAATTCTCCCCAAAGGATCTGATCGCCTCGAGATTCCACCTAGAGCAACACTTATAGATGCTCTAACCATTGCTTTTCTTCATCGGATTAAAACATCTGCCAGGGAGCAATTTTAGCGAGAAAATCTCTCAAGACTTTTCCATCGATAGCCATTGAAAGATGATTTGACCGCGTGTTCCATGCACCGACTGTTTGAAATTAGCTTAGCGACACGGCTTTTGGGTTCAAATTACCTGCGCACCCGGAGAAGGGAGAAGGGACAATGTCCACCACAACTCGCGTGACCGTTATGGCGGACATTGTCCCTTCTCCCACCAGGTGCGCTGGTAATTTGAACCCAAAGGCCAGGTCGCTAAGCTAATTTCAAATGGTCGGTGTATGGAACACATGGTCAACGCATGGCTATTGATGGAGGAGCCTTGAGAGGTTTGCTTGATAAAATTGCTCCTTGGCGGACGTTTTAATCTGATGAAGAAAAGCAATGGTTAGAGCATCTATTAGCGTTGCTCTAGGCAGAATCTGAGGTGATCAGATCCTTTGGGGCAAATTTATGGCTGCATTCCTTCAGTGGATCTGCTGGGCTCCGTCACTCGAGTGCCCTACCTTGTCTCTCTTTATAGGGAGAGGAATACAGAGAAGCTAAAACCCACTGCAATCGCTCTGAAACCCCTCCAAATGCCATAAAAACACAAGTTATACAGGACAGGTAAGTCAATTTTCCCCCTCTTTTCCCCCTTATTTTGAACTATTTTGTACAATCGTTATATTCCCATATGAACTCTTATCATAACGCTGTTACGCAAAGTCATGTTGACAGTTCCCAAATGAGCTTGGGCTACCTGTGGTTATAGCAATATTTAGGGAAGGAAATTCATACGCAAGGTTCAGTGTTTGCATTTAGACAGGTTTTCTCCAGGTTAATTTGACTTGTTAAGGTATCATGGTAGCTGGATTTTTACGAAAAATGCGAAAAATCTTTTTTGGGTCTTCAAATCGAGAAGACTGACAGAGATAAATATTTTGCAAAAAGAATGGGAGAGGGGGCTTTTTTACTTGTTAAGTTAAAGCAAAAAAACTATTTTTGAATATTATTGACCCCTTACAGTGCGTTGACACCTCTAATTAAAATTCACCGCCAGTTGTCGCAAGTAACATGAATTGTGGTGTGATATTTCATTTGTGCACGCGAACTGTTCTTGATCTGGTTGTTTCATTGCAAGTTGGATTTCGTTCTTGTCAAATTTTCTTTATGTCAGGACGAAAAATTCTTGCCCATTTTCGTCTTCGAAGACGCCGAAGAGGCGAAAATCTGGTGGAACCCACAGGTTCAGCGTCAAACAAGATCTTTGGCTCTGAGCGACCGTGGGTCGCACTGTAACCAAGAAGAATGGTTGAAGGAACTCGAGGACACTNACCTCGAGATTTCCTCTTTTTCATGCTTTTTGGCTTCACGAGGCATGGTTTCAAAAAATGTCTGGAGAACAAAGGAGCCTAAACTTAAGCAACATAATACCAACGCCGCTGACAAAATCTTTTAAGTAAAAGATCACGGCAGTATAACTTGTAGTTTGTCCCTTCTCGGACGACTTCAATGCGACGGCGGGTTTCCGCGCCAGAATATTAGTCATCTGTTTATTTCAAGTTGTCATAACCCATTGTTGTGGTAAACTGACCCATGCCAACATCTGTCAGTGCAGAGGGGATTTTTAACACCTATTCATACAAATCTCATAAAAGGTTTTTCGTGTTTTTCTCGATAAAATAAAACTGTATATAAGGATGAACATTTTTAGTTCGTTTACGCGCATCTTCCGATGGAATTGGCTGAAAATCGGCAGGTATGTTCTAGGATAACTCCTTCGAAAAACTGTATCGGGCTTTGTTTAATTTCACTTCCGTTTCAAAGTTATGGCCTCTTTTAATTTATGCATTAGGTTTGACACATGAGGAGAACGCCGTATGAATCAGCTGCCGCTCCAACTTCACATAGTGCGACAGACCTTGCCAAATTTAATGTTGTTTGTCGCACCAAACCTAACCTGCTGAACCAAACTGATTCAAACGCCACTCTTCTGCTGTACTTAACTTATCAGTTGGGTTCGGCACATGAATGGAGCGGCGTTTAGAACGGGCCTCATCAAACAAAATCGAACATCTATTTTGCTGTGAGTTCGATGATCGAATGCGAGCTCAATCCAATTCGATTTTGTTCGGAATCTATTTCTTGATAACTAAATCACGCAGGAGTAATCATAATCAACCATTATTGAATGGGATTAATAGAAAAACATCCAAATATCAAACTAAATGTCAATGTTCAGTTATACATATGTCCCAGAGAACAAAACGACAGACAAACTAGACGTAGGTCAACCTTTTAGTAGAAGTTTCCCCTGAACATGTGGCTATTATGGGGTATTATGCAGATGTGTAAATCGTCCTATCAAATTGCTAACAAAGGATTTGGGGGGATTAGGGGAACGGTTCACCATACAAAATTTCCACAAGATGTACACTTGTTTGATAATAGGGTAATATTTAGGCTTTTTTTTTTTTCATTACTTCGTTTTTTATCAGTGTTAATATTTAGACATACAAAGTAAAACAAACAGGAGTTTGGTAATTGCACATTTGATTGAGCACAACTGTAAATTTAAATAGGGTATCATTTTTGTCCCTCATTGTGTTCCCAGTGTGATTAAAATGAAAAACACATGGTCTGTTAAAACTGAACTACTCGTAAACCTCAAATATATGTTTACTAAATTAAAACTGACTTGAATGCATTGAATTCTTGAAATTTCTCCAAAATTGGGGGCATTTTTTATTTTTCAGTGGACTTAATTGATGAGAACCAAATGGTCTTCATAGACAACTCAAATGGGGAAGAAAGTATTGAGCTGGTTAATCATTCCATGGAATCCAGTGGTGAATTATCTACAGACAGGAAGGATATTGTAGAGGTAAATTGCTCTTTCTTTTAAGCCTTTCAGTCTTTGACAAACTCAATTTTTATAGGGGAATTTTCTGGGAAATATACTTCAGAAATGAATAGGAGTGATCTTTTAATAGCTGACTCCAATTTTGCAAAATTGAGACATGTTTTGCTACATGTGGTAAGAAAGTTTTAAATCATATAAAAAAACTGAACCTCACTAGTTTAAGAACTAATATTGTAAATAATTTATTCAGGATAGGTTTCTATGGAAGCGTAATGATGATGCAAATTTCTCCAAGAAAAGAAATCAGCCAATTATAAAACATTGTGCTTTTGCCATGAATCTGATTCAATAAGTCATACATGTAAATGGGTGGTAAACAAAGAAAATTGAGATCAAATAAATTTCTGTAGGCACAAATGAACTACTCCTTGGGAAACTATGAAACAATGTTGATGAGGCAGGTATTTAATACACCACTAAGGTGTTCAAAAAAGTTAATTATTCTCTTTTATTTGCTAAATGCTGCATTTTTAACACACAGAAACCAGCTTAAAGGCAAACACTTGAGAGAACTTAAAAGGAAATTAGATTATGCTGTTGAAATTATCGAGTCTTGAGTTATTAAGTTGAGTTTTAAGTATTAATTATAATTGTAATTACCTGATAGCAATGCCTCAAACAGGTTTAGTCTTAACTTAATTATGCAATAGGATGTTGACATATTGAATAATTTGAATCAGGTGCCACATATTTATAATGGGTTCCTGATGTTGAACTCTTTGGATGTTTCATCTTATACTGGGCACCAGTGTCATGCATCCCTTGGGACTGTTAATGTTCTTGTAACTGTTGAACAAGAAAGATTGATTAATAGCTTCATTATGGTTAATTATAATATAGATAGGACTCTCTATATAGATAGGACACACGTGCACTCTGATTGGTCAAAAACCCATGTTTCATCAGAGTATAAAACATAGAAAAAGAGTGTTTTATTGTTTTGCGCAGGTAAGATCTATATCATAAAGCAAATAAAGAAGCCTAACCCATGTATTACACTGTGATAGAACACTCCGGACATTTGAGAACACTTGAGAAATGTAGAAAACACTTGCCTGCTTCTCGTGTTTTCTACATTTTCCTTGTGTTCTCAAATGTCCGGAGTGTTTTATCATAGTGTAATACACAGCTTAGGCTTCTTTTTGTGTTAAATAAAGCATGGATGATACATATACAGAGTTAACTGAAAAGGGTACCTCTTTATAGTGAATGGTGAATTATTTACAAAGTAGATATAATTACCATTAAATTTTCACCTCTTCAACTCCACTGGACCAAAATTTATCAGCCCTCAAAAAAATTAAGTGGAATTTTAGACAAAATGAAACCATTTTATTGATAACCAATGTATAAATTTTTATTTGACAGCTTAAAATAGGAATTACGTTTGCAAAGAAAATTTGTTATTTTTTTTCTTGTAAACAGCCTGTAAGGACTTTTACCGGAAATGGGGTGGATGGTATCTCGGAGGAAGTTTCTGTAAAGTCAAAAAGCCTCAACCTTAGTAATTTTTTCTTGATATTACTACATTAAGGGTTAAACTTAACAGTTAAACTTTATAAATTTGTCAAACCAGACTATTTTTTTTTGTCACTTTTTGGTGGCTCTTAAAAAGAATAACACGCACACCACCCATCACCCACCTCCCTTAACTCCTAACCCTACCCTACCCTGCCAGGATCCCATATCAACCCCCCTAACTCTAATCCCCCAGAATCTACTTTTGTTATTTTTATCTCTGACTTTGTATACCACATTCATCTCCACTTGGCCACACAAGGAATCATAATTTGTAAAATAATTTGTTCATATTTGTTGGTCTAATATGTTATTGGTCCCAGACTCACCCTTCCCCGTTGGCACAATGTACTGTAGGTTGAAATCATTCTGACCTAAAGAACAAATTGACCTAATGGTCAGTTACTACAAAATGCAGACTACAGACTGCAGACTGCAAACCGGTTTCAAAATGCAGACTAGGTACAAAATGGTGACTGTAGACTGCAGACTAGGTACAAAACACAGACTGAGCATAAAGACTGTTTTTTTCATCAAATACGTGATAACATGTCATTTTAACTTACTAAGTGTCACACAATTGCTTTTCTGCAGTCATCTTCCACTGTTGTTTTCGTCTAAATAAGTGATAACATGCTGTAACATGTCATTTTATAACTTACTAATTGTTTCCAAATTGGAGATTATTATTGACCATATTTCATTGTTATTTCATTGTCTTCACACTTTGTGGACAAGATTTTAGTATCAAGTAATAACACTTATATAAAATATGATGGAAAGAATCTTGTAGGAAATTAAAGAACAGCAAAGTCTCCTACACGTGCAATGTGTACAAATGAAAAACAATCAGGGGCCCCCTCTTACAGGAAAAGCAAAGCATCATTTTCATGACTGGTCATTTGTTTACTTTTAATCTTGTCACTGTTTGGTAACTAGTTAACTACACAATCATCAAATAGTATGTAACAATCAGTGTGTGTTCATGAACCTTGAACATTGGAAATATATAAAGGTGAAGGAACAACAATTTCACATGGATAACAGTTTTATTGCTGTTAATTACGTAAAGATGTTTGTATGAATGACTCAATCGTGTGTTTAATGTTACTGTCAGGCACAAGCACTCCCTAAGAAAACCAAGGGACACTTGTACTACAGCAAACAAGAAGGTCTGGATGCTAGCAGGAATAAAGTTCAGTCACGGCCAAAGATTGGTAAATTAAAGAGTTAATAAAACTTTAAATTAATGTTCACTCAAAAAGAATGATTGTCTGATGTAGTTAACCCTCTCTTACACTGTATACCATTAAGAGCATACGTATGTTGTGTAACATCTCAAGATCTTGAGAGGGTTGTTATATTTCATTATAAAACTAAGTTCTTGACATGTTGCATTCCAGTAGGGTACGTCTTAAATGAAGTTTGCAATAAGCTCTTGTAGTACAGCTAGTTGTAACTTAAATCTGAGACCTCCTTTTTAACTTGGAAACTATTATATTCCAATTTGTTGGTTTGGTAGTTGGAATTCACTCCCTCCTTCTTTCTTTTGCTTCTTCCTCTGCTTGCTGTTAAATTTTTTTGTGAATGTGTGGTTCCAGAAAATATCCATACCCCCCATGGAGGGTTTTTTTTCCAGTTTGAACCCCCACCCTCCAGGATTTTCCGTTCCAGGGGGTTTCACAGTACTCCCCCCACCCCCTGGAATTTCCATGATTTTTCTACTTGGGCCCCCCC